CACTCCCCTCCACCCCACCCCAAACCCCTCTCCCCGTAATCAGCTACGAGCGCAGCACAGACCTGATCACCGTGGGCCAAGCGCTGTCCGGCCAAGTGTCAGAGCTGTTGGACGCGAGCGACGAGGAGCTGGAGTCCAAGTCGTACCTACACCACATCGTCCTGACCTTGAGAAACCAGCACAGCTTCATGCTGACCACACTGATGAGACTGGCAGAGGATGTGTTACACTGGGCACCCACGCTCAAGGTTCTTTGCTTTTGGTTTTGGGTTTTGGGTTTGGTTTTTGTTAGCTGTACTACTGACTGAAGTTGTCTTTAGGCCATTCCCAAAGGGGGAATATTAACCCTATCCGTAATACGTCGTGTTTGGGACACCTGAATAAACATTAGGGTCTTGAACGTCTAGCTCTCACTGGCAAAATTGAGGGCCAAAAAAAACATACTTAGGGAACCTAAAAAATGGGCAACAGGGAAAGATCAGGGAAACGTAGCTTTTTTTAGAGCATCCAAGCAAAGGAATGAATGGAGAACCATGATCGCCAATGTCTGTCGCAGATCTGGGCCCTGGATGATGATGATCCATACAACGTGGGGAACTATGTGCCACCACTTTCCAAAGAGGAAATTTACTCATTAATCCAGTCCGTACACTTCGCCTAACAGTCTATCAAAATGATTTTTTGAGAAATACTGAAAGTTTCAAAGAGATCTTTGTACTAGAAGTATTCTAAAATGTGCAGAATACAACCCCAGGGTACAAAACGACCAAAGGGTGGATATTAGCATGTTCTTATGCTCAGTAGACTTGTAAATGGGCTGATTCATCAATGTCATGCTCATTACTGTGCCTGAACTGCATACGGAGAACTGCTACTTTTCCTTTCCTCATCAATGCTATCACCATTTTTCTTCTACATCTTTTATGTGTGCCACTCTTGTGAAACTGCTATTTCCGAATTGCCTTGATAGTCGAAGCAGACTTTGTGCTGTTGAGGCTAGAGAAATGAGCAGAGTAAGCCTGATTCCCCGTTAGGACTTCTCTGTTGACTTCCACCCCTTGGCGTTCATAATATGACCTTATGCATTTGGAGAGCTGTAAAACCTTTCTAAAACGAACAGCATTTTTAACTGGAACAGATAGAATTGTGCATATATTCCAATAATTGTATTGTCTCTCTCTCTCTCTCTCTCTCTCTCTCTCTATCTTGCTTTCTCTCTCTCTCTCTCTCTCTCTCTCTCTCTCT